TAGTCATTTTGCACTCTCGAAGTAGATGCGTTGAATTCGGGCACGTTGCGTCAAAGTCTTCTCATCACACACACACCCCTCCCGCGTGTGTGCTTTCTGCGTTCCCGAAATATCGGCGCCTCCTCCCGACTCCCTACCAAAGGTGTGGGGCGGAGAGCACATCCACGTAGGCCTGTACAGCAAGCTCAACGCGGAAGAAGCCAAGCTGCCCGTCCTGGACCGCATCAAGAAGGCCAGCATCCTGAACGCCGAGGAACTGCTCGCCCGATGCTTCCCCGCCAGCGCTAACGGGACTAGCGGCACTAACGGCAACGGCGCGCCTCACACATCGGAGAGCACCATGGTGGACATGGGCTCCGGATACGGGGGCTCGGCCAGGCTCGCAGCCAAGACGCTCGGCTGCAAGGCGAGTCTCTCTTTGTACTTGCTTCCCCCCTCCGGCATACTGTATGTTCTTCGTCCGCTTGTTTTTTCATCCATCCGTCCTGTTTTTCTACCCATGGTAAATAGTCGACTGTACCTTCTGGCCTTGCCTGCGTGTCTGCCTGCCCGCCTATTTTGTCGGAGGATCACGCTGACAAGAAGGTTGGTAGTCTGCGGTGCAATGTCTGACTCGTGTATGGTTGTCCAGTCTTTGCGGAAAGATCGTCCTCCTCCGACGATGTGTCGAAAACGACCAACTCCGGAGATGGTATTCTTGGCTTCGACTCAATCAATCGTTGTGATCCTTCTTCTTTGCGAACATGGTTGAAGCACGGCGTGCAATGTGCTCGTACTGTTGCCGTAGCCCGCCTCAGACGTGTTCGCGCCTATAGGAATTGAAACAAAAGTACAGACAAGAAATCACGCCGCCGGTTTCAGCGGGGTCAATTTTGTTTCATCCCCTCCCCATATTGGACATGGCTGAGCCCAGTTCTTTCACCACCTCGTGCTCCTTACACAGACCTTTTCGTTTCACCAAAACAGGCGGGCGCCTCAAGCAAGTCATACCCTCCATCGGAAAGCTGGTTTTACCCTTTGATTTTGCTTTGAGCCGGAGAAATGTCTCGCGATCACATCTGAGTTGAAGCTGCCTTCCTGCTGCTGCACGCAACCGTTTCAGCTCTGAGAAGCAACTCTCATCCAAGTTGGTCACCCGCTTCAGAGTCCCAATTCGGCCAAAACTCCGCGCCATAGTAGAGATAAAAGACCATAGAATGAATGTATGATGTGCACGGTTTGGGATCTGCACTACAGCGATGGAAGTGGGCCTGCAAAAGTCGGCCTAAATTCAAGTCTAAACTCCAGTAGTCAGCAGAGAGGCCCCCAGAACGATCATGAGCCTACCTCCAAAAATATCATGGTAATCCAAGCCATGGAAGCAGGCAACGCACCTAGATGGCTTTTGGTTACCCACGTTTGTGTGTCTTTACACGTGGGCAATCCATAGATGATGTGCACGAATTGGGATCAGCACTACAGCGCGAGTTGTGGCAGAATAACCAAAAACACTGCGCGAAGAGACTGCTTCCCGATGTGATTCCAGGATTTGTAATATCTGCATTAAAAACAAAAATTGGAATTTTTTCCATAGGCGCGAACACGTGTGGCCTGTCTGTCCGCGGTCATCTCCTTCTTCACCTGCCTTGTCCGTGCACATTACTAATCCACAGATGCGTATGGATCCATGTCTCTCTCTACCGCTCTGAAAGACTTGACTGGCGCTCAGAAAAGTTGATTGCGCAGAGAGAAGTTTCCGCTCCAAGATCGTCTCCCACCCACCCACATGTGTCAGCTACCGGGGAGCGCGGTACACAACTCGATGGTTGAGATACAAAAACCACCGCGCCCCAGCGACTGCGGCGAAATGGGGCCCGCCAATCTGTCGATCGCACACACGCTACATGCGGTTGCGGGCAATCAAGCAAGCGCGCGGTTATCCGAAGTGTGGGATGGTACCAGTTGTGTTGGCTCGAAGAGCGTCACGAGCAACGCCATTTTTCTCAAGCACCATGCATGCACGGCAGAATGACCATATCATACGTGAACGCGACCACCAGCGAGCACGCACATGAAAGTACGTCCATCAATGGGCTCAAAGTGTATGTAACGC